ACCCTGGATTCTGTGGAGTTTTAGCCATTTCTCAACTTCCACAAATAGTTTTAGGCATTATGAATTGTAAATCCTTCTATAATAAATGTGTGCCCGCTCAAAGCTTGCAAACATGATCCTAAAACTGCAGCATGACCCAAATCGATGTGATGATATAGTGCGAGTCTGTACCAGCAGAAAATACCAGCAGACTCTTCCAGACACAGGTGCCGCAGCTGTCGGAAACCGTAGTTTTTATGTGCTCACAAGACAGTCCAAAGTTTCTGAAAGTGGTCTTTTTAAAGAGCCGACTGAAACCGCAATTCTCAAGGAATTCTTCCTCATTTCTCCACCGCATTTACTAATGTGTCAGTGTGCCGTTTGCCCTCAGAAGTCATCGAACACATGTCTCTGATTTTCATTCCTCCACTTCTGTCTTTAACTCTCTGTGGAAATAATGGCTGTGAGATTCGATTACACGTCTCGGCACGGATCAGTGGTTATATAGTTTCACATATTGTTCGTTTTTAAAACTAAATCATGAAAATATGTCTTCCTACATCAAGATTTTCTACATCCACATCTCTTTTGTGTACATTTAGGAGGTCAAACAACCTAGCTATGACACAAGTCGGTAAGCATTACCATGTTTAACTTCTGACAGTTGGTGATGACTCAGAATGGTTTTTAATCATTTTTAGTGACAATTTTCTAAGTCTTATTGAGGAAAGTAGTTGTAATTATTTTCTAAATGTCATTTATAAGCAATAAAGTAATATTGAATGTACAGAAGAGACATTTTGAAAGCTGTGTTATACCCGCATTGTGAGCCGGCATTGGACCCGAAAGGTCAAAAATAGGTCATAGTGTCATGAAAAATCACTCCAGAATTTCACTTAACCAGCACTTAACTTAAATGACTCTTTTAACCTTTTCCTTAACATTTATGGATTTCCTTTTCTAACATGCCTGATTCCCCCCCTCCCCCTACCTCTTTTTTGTTGTTGTATCACTTCCCCCTAATTAAGTGAATGTACAGCCATCAAAGATGTGTATATATGTGCACGTATATATGTATGTGTGTTTGTGCACTGGCCAAAATGACAGAATAAGTTCACCTGCAGCAACTGTGAGACAGATCTTGTATTTTTGGGGGGTTGAGAAATGGACTGTCCACATTATTTGTATAGACGGCAAAGTGTTTTAATTTGTGTCGTTATTCTTTTTTTCTGTAAGGCCGAGTGCTCTGTATTGTCTGTTTCAGTTGACACGTAATGTGCCAAAAATCATTCCAAGATATTTTTGTAGTTTACAAGGAAAATGAACAGCTTAAGCATTATTGAAATTAAAAGGGTAAATATTTCTGTTGTCAAGCTTTTCCTTTATCTGCTTTTTTCCAAACTACAATCGGATAGGTTTTATTTAAAAGTATTTTGTAAAGTGGGCCATTTTTAAGATATGTTAAGTTTTTTCCCCCCATTTTTTTGTTTGTTTATTGTGTAGATGTGTACCTTATTGGGCTCCTGGAGAGTGTTTTTTTGGATTATTAATTTCAGTGTTATGTTTTATTCATAATCTGTATGAACTATTAAAGTTAGCCGACTCAGTTAAATGTATTAATTCACCAGCTTTTCAAACTTTTTTTTTTCTTTCATTCTAAGGGAAGTGTTTGGGTAAGTAAGATGAACCTGTTGAGCCAGGGTCTCAGTATGGTTCAGTTCTGTACTGTTCTCATCTTTTATTAACCGCTCAGACTGTGGGTTTCCCTTCTGTTCATTCAGGGTTCATTCATCTCCTGTGCCGTATTAAAAGCGCTGCCAAAGACAGATTTCAGGCCTTAAACGCACACACACGCAAACATACTGTAACACACAGTCACTGAATTAAAGTTCACTGATATTTGCTTACACGGTCTCTCAAAGACACTGCACATATAACTACAGGCCTGCATAGTTAAAGAAGGGAGACAGAAGTTGAGAGCGTCTTTGTGGTGTTTCTCTCTCTGATCAGGCAGATGTTGGTATAGCGTGAACCTGCGGTGAGGACACAGGTGAACATGCTCATTGTATTCAGCCTCTCAGTGTCACCAATAGCACACTCTTTCAGTCTTACACCTTTGTACCGTAATATGTGTGCATGTTTCAGCTTAACATGTTTCAGCATTGTGCATGGAGCTAGACATCTCTTTAGGCTGAACTGCAGCCCATATGTATTCCAGCTAATATAATAAACGCAAACTTGTTTGTAACTGGTTTGGTTTTGTGTATTTATCGAGTGGATAACTAAATTGTTTTTTTTTAATAATCTGCCAGCAGATGGTTACTAGACATGACTGATGGACTGAACGTACATCCAAGAAGCTCTGGCGTCATTTTAACAGATTTATTTGTGATAACAGTGTAATAAAAACACAAACCATAGGAATTTGATATTCAGTATTTTTTCAACTGGCGGAACACATTATTTGTGTAATGCCAGATAGATCCATCTAAATAAAACTCTTCAGTTAAAATAAGCAACACTCATGACAGTAAATTTTAGGCGTAAATGTTCCAATGTTTTTTTTATTATTATTTAAAAAATGTAGCAATTTACACCACAAACGGTAAGTAAAAAGAGAATAGTTAAGTCCACACCACAACTATATTGATAATGACAAACAGCAGCAATATTGCTGGAATCACTTTCAGAACATTTTTTTCCCCAGCTGATGATTAAAACATTGGCCAATCAATAGCAATTAACCAATAATTGAGCCAATCAGAATCTAGACAACATTAAAGAGCGTGAGCGTTTAAAGAGGTAGGCGACATCATTGCATCATACACTTATACTAAATAGAATGTTATCATCCGTTGGTGTGGACAACAATATAGTTATGGCTTTTTTTCCCATGCAGTTTGGAACAACACAAGGGTGAGAAAATAACTTGCGAACTGTTCCTTTAAGGCATCGGTACATAGTAAACGTATGGTCTGCATTTTATGGCTTGGTACTAATAAGCAATATTGACCGCGAGTTCATAAAATAACAGACTATTTAGATGGAAAGACACCACAAATCAATATAGATATGACATGATGCTGTAAAGAACTTTAAAACCAGACTTAGAGAGTTCACTCAGCATCAGAATTCACTATTGTTTGTCCAAATCATTGAAACGGCTTTAATCCTGTTCTGAGACTAAACGGGAGGTTTTTTTTGAAAGACATTCAAAATGGATTAGAAAAGTCTAGACAATGAAGTCAGTCTTGTTCCAGCATTGAACATTCTTCAGCATTACCGAAGAAGAGTTTTAAAAGCATTTTAATGGAGCGTTAGCATGAAACTGACTAGGTGATTTAAAAATGAAAGGTTATACGGCCTATCTGTGTGTGGAGGTGTTGTATGAGTGTTTTAGTCCATAGGGGGAGAGGGGGGTTCTGTGTTGAAAGGCACATTGTCAAGTTGTTGTAGTGTGTGGGTGATTAAGAGTAACATCTGGATGAGTCAGGTTTGAGTTCTGACACGCTCATGTGCATCAAAAAGAGACCTACTCAGAGTCTAACGCAATGAAATATTTCCCAGAAGGCATCCAGGTGTCTTTGAGAATATTACAGCACGTCAAAGGTGTTAAAATACAAGTTGAATACAATTTTAATATTATGCAATCAGATTATGGAGTCTGTCCTGACGGGGTGCAGCTCGTGCATCATTTCCTGCTAACGTTGTGGCTCTAGGAAAGTCAATAAATCTAGAGGAACTGGTCTTGGAAGTTGTCTGCAGTTAACAGTTCAACATAAAAGCATCCACAAAATACCATAATATCTAATAGACGTGATTTGATGGCGATTCGGCTTTGCGGTCAATGAACCGAATGTACTCACATTATCAAAACCACTGGACAACTGCAGTATTATGAATTAAAGTATGGTTGTGGCATCGTGGTGCAGGCTGCTCAAGGCTCTAATCATGAACCAAACTGCTGGGGCCAATATCAGCTAAGGTCCCTCAGACTCCCACAATGCAGTGCAGCTGCCAGGGCCCACACCACACAAACTGGGCCTGTGGCCAGAGGCCTGGAGAGGTTATGGCAAGAACAGAGAGAGGGTGAGAGTGGCCAAGAAAGCCCCTGGGCAGCATGACATGGGAAGAGACTGGATAAACTAAGAATAAAAAGAGCAAAGCAGACAAAAATGGGAAGGAAATGGCCACAACCAAAAGAAGAGAAAAAATGAGACCATGAAAAGAGGCTAAAGAAACAGGTTAAGAGAATGCCTGACCAAAATATTAAGTAAAAAAAAACACGGCAGTTCACTCCGGACACATAATTGCACACAAAAACAGCAAAACACAAAGTTGGTCAACATAGCAAATATGCATGACCAATTCAACACATTACATAATCTGCTTGGGAACATCTTTTCCAGACGGTGTGGATTCCTACAGAAATTACTCTATTTCACCCACAACAAAATCATCAAACAATGTGAAGTAGAATGCTCCTCAAGGAATAAAAAGGAATGCATGTTTTTTTTTACTTCTTAATGTTGCGATGCAATGAAAGTAGCAAAAGGTCATTTGTTGCATATTGTGACGTACATTCTAGGGATATGGATTATCAAATTGTGGGCTGGGTGCTTGCTTCTATTTATTGTTGATTGGATGGAGGCAGATCTAAATGCATACCTGAGGTAGAATTTAAGAAAGGATCGTGGTTTAAGCAGACTAAATGATTGGAGTTGTCCAGCATATGACAGCAGAGAGAAGGCTGTCATTTCACTGGAAGATCGAGTTATGACATTATGATTAAAAATTGTAAAACCTGAACAATGCATAGATATATGGTTCCCAACAAGATTAGGAACATAAATGTAGAACTTCTATTATATGGTAACTTTAACTTGACTTACGGCAGCACTCGTGAGAGACAGTAATGGTAGAACAAACGCGTTTTGTATGAAACAGACCTAAGCAGGTCAACTTGAGGGGTTGTTCACACAAACAATGTGAGAAATAGCACTGATGAATAGAAAAGAACAGGAGGTTCTCAACGTGTTTTAATGAAGAATGTGAAAATTTACATACATTTATCCACAAATAACCATAAACTACCAGAAAGCTGGGGGTATGAAGCAGACTTCATATTTATTTTTACTACAAAAAAAAAAACACAAATATAAAAAATATTGCAATGACCATAATTAAACAAATAAAACTTAAAACCACGAGCTGCTCAAGAAAGATACAAAGCTATAACTTATATTCTATTTGAACAGACACAGACCTATTAGCAACACAATGTGCATTCCAGCCAATAAGCAATTGTTCCTAACAAAAACATCCAAGCTACATAGAAAATTCATGACATTTGCTTTTGATTTTCTTTTTTATTATTATGAAAAAATAAAAAGCAATGGGTTGGGTAGGCAGCTGGATTTCAACTAATGCATCCATATCCATCTATCTGGTTTTTACAATTGAAATTTTAATGCTCTGCCTTGAAACATTTGATACTTTGTGATCAAAGACTTTGCATGAGTTGCGTTACGTGTGAATAACAGTCCCTTGTCCTGTGCGTCTGCAGGGAACAAACCATTCCAGGTAAATTCTTCTGGAACCATCCACCTGTCCTTTCAGATGACTTAGTAAAGCTGCTGCAGCAGAAGGTAAATGAGTGAAGGGTTGTTTTAAATCTCCAGCTCTCAGATTAGTGAATGATTTCCCTAAAGGCATGTTCTTACATGCAGACAAACTCTCCCATAAACACACATTCCCAGTCTAAGGAGTCACCCGGTGTCCTTACGTGACCCGCCCGCTCTTTATCTAACAAGACATTCTTTCACTGAAAATCCCCAACTCACATTCTCTCTCTGTGCACATCATGTGTGGGTTTAGACATTTATTGGATGCTGGGGGAGGGCTGTGGGTTTGGATTGGCAGTGGCTTGGCGTGGCATAGTGTACATGGCTCCCAGGAACTGATCAGCGATCCTTCCTGCCTCCCTCAGCCCACTCAGCAAAGCGCCGTGGACCGTTGCGGGATAGTTTCTGATTGTGTGTTCACCCGCAAAGAACAGACGTGGAACAGGCTGCAAAACACACACAATCAGCATAACATCTGCTTCTGGTGACACAAGCATCTTAAAGGAAATGAGCAATAAGCTATGACACTCACCTGTGAGGCTCCAGGTATGGCATTCATTTTTGGATAAACTAACCCTTTAATTAAACCCCATTAAAACACTAGCAGTCCAATGCTGCATCAACATAACTCAAAAGTATTCAAGTCCACTTATGAGCCTCTATAAATTACACCACCATCATAAAGCAATTCTTTTTATCATATGCACATATTTTAACAGATGCTTACGAAGCAAAACAACTTACAATACAGTGCACAATGCCAAAAAGAAACCAAAAGCTATTACCTAGATTATTTTTGTCACTAAAATGATACAAAATAATACAGATAAAGCACATGCAGTCATGCAAAAAAAAAACAAAAAAAAAACAAGTAGCTGATGCTTGCTTTCAATGGAGTCAATGAAAATGCATTTCCATGAACATTTCTGACATCCTGCGGTGTATGCAGACTGCTGTTTATGATACAGCAGCACTGTGAATGAATCCGGTACCACACTGTGCCCTCTTGTGACAAAAACCGAGAAATGGAGTGGGACAATTGCATAATACTGCAGTATTTTTCATCATAGTCATTACCAGATGAACCGGCTGCTACATACGAGTAAGACCCACGAGCCCAAGGGTCGGCACGCCAGCGACTCACCACCGTCTCCTTTGGCTGCCATGACGACAGAAACAGAACACATAGTCAGTTTGTTGCCATTGGAGCAGAGTCAGATGCTTCATACCACGGGAATGAGCCCCAGAGTCTCAGTGTGTGATATTTCACAGATTTCATTAGATTTAAGTTGATGTTTCCTCCCTATTCATACAAGCTTTTGTTGCACAGTGCGGAACTACAAATGAAATAAGCTACTCTTAGCACATCCGAGCTCACCTGAGGTACTGCACTGCTTCCAAAGATGCCCTTGAGGATTGCCAGACAACGGCCAACAATGACATCATCACTGATATTCTCCATAATGCCTGCAGCCTCTCCCGCCATCAGAGCCACCAGTATGGGAGCTGAGAAGACACAAAAGGTCAGATTCAAAGTGAGCTCTGAATGACATAATTATGCAACTATAATTATCAGAGAGAATTTTTCAACCAATATATTTATTACTGATATATGGTCAGTATTGGAAACTTCATTGTGCAAGCTCATTTCTGCCTTTTTTTACCACCATCACTTAGAGCTTAAATACACAAATAGTTAATAGCATAAGATGTAGTCTTCAGCAGATCTCAAAATGAACATCTGTTGTAATCATTAAATTTACTTGTTGCATTTTTTTTTTCATTTCATACCTTATTGTCCATAACATCAAAATAATTAACTTAATAGCCAGATGTTTAATATTGAAGCATCCCTAAACTGAAGGATGATTACCTTTGTAGAGATTCCAGAAGAGAAACAGTTCCCCTCGACTGGCCGTAGTACTTCCCACATGTCCAAAGAGGTTAACACTGGGGTCCCAGAATACTCTATCAAAACACAACACAACCTAGAACAAGGACAACAAAGATTAGGACAGAATGGGCCTTTTTAAGTGCAGCTGACGGACTTTCTTCTGTGGAACAGAAGATTTTTGGACAAATTTCTCTTTTTTTTTTGCCCATACAATGGAAGTCAATGGGCACCAAAACGGTTTGGTTACAAACAGTCTTTAAAATATCTTCTGTGTTCCAAAGAAAGAAAGTCATGCAGGTTTGAAATAGCATGAGGGTGAGTAAAGTGACAATTTTCATTTTTGGATAAACTAACCCTTTAATTAAACCCCATTAAAACACTAGCAGTCCAATGCTGCATCAACATAACTCAACAGTATTCAAGTCCACTTATGAGCCTCTATAAATTACACCACCATCATAATGCAATTCTTTTTATCATATGCACATATTTTAACAGATGCTTACGAAGCAAAACAACTTACAATACAGTGCACAATGCCAAAAAGAAACCAAAAGCTATTACCTAGATTATTTTTGTCACTAAAATGATACAAAATAATACAGATAAAGCACATGTAGTCATGCAAAAAACAAACAAAAAAAAAAAACAAGTAGCTGATGCTTGCTTTCAATGGAGTCAATGAAAATGCATTTCCATGAACATTTCTGACATCCTGCGGTGTATGCAGACTGCTGTTTATGATAGAGCAGCACTGTGAATGAATCCGGTACCACACTGTGCCCTCTTGTGACAAAAACCGAGAAATGGAGTGGGACAATTGCATAATACTGCAGTATTTTTCTGCTGCAGCTGAACTAAGAGAGGAAGTGAGGGGAGAGAGAGAGGAGTGCAGAGGAGGAGGAGGATGACGCATCCTGGACACTCAATATGTGTAGGGGTAAATTCGTTAAGGACTCATTGCATACACACCTATATTTATCATGTTAAATATGATTTGTCCTAACCCGCCCAACCTGAGCTTCACTCTTTATTAGCCAAAGACGATTAGTTTGATATATACACATAAAATGTCCCATGCTGATACAGACCAGCATTGTCATTACATTAACACCCTCCTGTCTGCAAAGGAATAAACAGAAATTATTCACACCTTGTTGAGGTTCCCAAAGCCCATTCTCTGAATGGCAGCCGTCTTCCATTCTGGCAGGGGAGGCACAAACTGCACAGCTGGCGGCTGCTGCTTCAGCACTCCCAAAGGAAGAGTACATAACACGGCGTCACACTTATAAATGAACGTCTGGGTAGTGGAGCGGGTATTCACCGCAATCACCTCACAACCTGAGATAGGGAGGAAATGATGGTCATAAATACATACACAAACACACCAAAACAGCAGGAGCTGGACTGACTGACTCACCAGATGATGTGTATCGGACCTGTCTCACTGCAGTGTTGAGTTTGATATCCAAACCCTCTGCAAGTGCCACTGGGACGCATGAGTATCCGTTCCGCACCGTTAGGTGACTGCCCGTGAACTCAAAATCATCGTCCTACTCAAACATAGAAAGAAAAGGGACAGGCTGCAGAAGCAAGCTTTGTTTTCTTTCAATTCTGACATCTTACATTTATGCATTTGACTGGGAATGACATTTCCATAGTGAGCACCATTCTCTACAAGTTGAGTTACACAAACACTATTCAGACATGAAAGGTGATTTGCGAAACAAAGTGTCCGTGCAGTACCTGATCCCAGTGTTTGAGCGAGAGTGTTGAAAGAGGTGTAGCGTTGGCAAACTCAAGGTTTGCAAAGTGCCAGTCAAGAATCTGTCGGTCTCTCGAAGACAGATAAACATCACTGAAAAAGAGATCCAGGATGACATGACTTGGACTCCATTTGGAAGGACAGACAGGTATGTTAATGTGACCTCAGTGGGTCTGATTACTTGCATGGGTTATATATGATTACCTGGGTGGGTTGGCCTCCAGCTCTTGCAGTCTCTCCTCTAATTTTACCTGCATCTCCACCAGTTCATCATACTCCTGTAGCACAAGGACAGGATCACAAATCAGCACACGCGTAGGTTTTTAAATGAAAGATGGTAATACCAGTATCTAGAGAGCACAGTGGCCAATGGCTGACACAATACAGATAATCATAATGCATTTTAAAAGATAGCATATGTGACAATTAAATGCACGCTTTTTACACAGTTAAATTCACAAAAAGAAAGAAAGAAATTTACATTAGTCACAAAATTGGTTTGATCAGAAGTTTTTTCTTAACGGTGAACATGAGAGTTCAAAATAAGACCTTTCTCTCTCCCCAGCACCTGAGTGTGAGGTTTTCGGATGTGTACACTCATTGCTAAACGGCTGAAATCAGCAGTGGTTTCATCCCAGAGGGCAGAGTCATCTCCCTCCAAGCGGGCCAGCCGTTCACCCATCTAACCAGCACAGGACTATTTAAAGAAAACCCTCCCCCTAAACCACATCACACAATTCTGAAATACCCTGCTTTAGTTTTTCTGTGTCAATCTGTTACAATCTGCAAGAATGTGTTTTTAGTCGCAAGAAATCCACAAGCACACTGGATAGTATTATTCTCCACACGGTGAAAACACATTCACTAGCGTGTGCACTAGTTATATTACAGGCATAGACACATTTCTGTTGCCATCATGACTTTTTACAGGCATACATACACACTACTGTTCAAAAGTTTGGGGTGAGTAAGATTTTTTTTTTAAAGAAATTTATACTTTTATTTAGCAAGGATGTATTAAAATTCATCAAAAGTGACACTAAAGACATTTATAAAGTTACAATAAATATCTGTTTCAAATAAATGCTGTTCTTCTAAGCTTTAAATATTAATGGGGTCATATGATGCCATTTTAAAGATCATTATTTTGTGTATTTGGTATAACAGAATATGTTGACATGCTTTAATGTTCAAAAAACACATTATTTTTCAAATACTGTACATTATTGTAGGTCCTCTATGCCCCGCCTCTCTCAAACAAATCGTGTTCAACAAAGCCCCCTTCTTTGACAAGCGCAGTCTGCTCTGATTGGCCAGCTGACCCAGTGCATTGTGATTGGCCGAACACCACAAGCACGCATCGGAAATGAAATGACCCTTACCATAATCGGGAGCTTCAGCTTTCAAAGTAAATAGACCTAATAATGTTGTTAGTTTTACCAACAGTTCAAGCCCAAAAGGGCAACAGAGTCGCGTGACAGACACAGTGATGAATATGGTTTTGCAGTACACAAGCCTGATTCAGAAGCGCCAGATTGTCATAGCAAAGTCGGAATTTACCCTTTTTTTGGGGGGGAAATAGTTTTTGTGCACAGCCAGCCTTGTACTCTTCTAGGTTCAAAAAACTGTCTCCATAAAAATGCGTTGCACAAATTCGAACATCTGGGTTCTGCTGTTCTGTTGAAATTAATCTTAACCACTGATTTCTAATTGCATCTACTTCCGGAAGGCCAAATAAAATGCTTTTGCTTTCGCCTAGAAACACACAGCGTCTCCCTGACATGCTGCTTCAACACTAACTGCTGTTCCTGAAACCACGCCTTCTTTCTTTGTGCACACATTTGGGTGGCATTATGCTAATATTTCCACATAGTGACGTAGATATGTGGGGGCGTGTTAGAACGAGCCGTTTTAGGTAGGTGTGGCTGACTCTGAACTTTTATAAAGAATATCTCTTTGGATTTGAGACTTTAGTCTTTGCAACTTTACAGATCTTCTTTATGCACCAAGAGCTTGTAACACTCCAAAGAGAAAGGAAAACTTGAAATCTCATCATATGACCCCTTTAAGCAGCATAATGGTTTTCAACATTGATAAGAAATGTTTCTTGAGCACCAAATCAGCATATTAGGATGATTTCTGAAAGATCATGTGACACTGAAGACTGCAGTAATAGCTGCAATGCAAAACAGTTATTTTAAATTGTAATAATATTTCACAATATTTCTGTTTTTACTGTTTTTGATCAAACAAGTGCAGCCTTGTTAAGCATAAGAGACGTCTTACAAAAACATTTTTTAAATCCAACAACCCCAAACTTTTGAACAGTAGTGCATATCATGGAAAACAGATTTGTTTGGGCCTCTTTGAAGACTAATAAGCCTACGCATATTGATTTGTAAAAGGTAACATTTCCTTCTGAATTCGTTTTGATTGAGTATATGAAAAAGTGAATAACACAGTTTTCATTTTTGCATATCTGAAAGCCAAGGCTTAAGGCTACATCTAGACGAGAGTCATGCACTAAAAGTATCTTAAAGTTTTAAAATGAAGTCAAACCCCAGTGTGAGCAAGCAGGCGTCGAAATTCAGGTTTCATAATGGTTTGAACACCTATAATGGGCTACAATTGAGAGTGATTATGTGAATTAACATGCTAAAAACTCACCAGTGAAGACCATTTAAGATAGGAATTTAACTTTTGCTCTGTGGGTGCTAAAGAGAGTACGACAGTGTTAGACTGTGGTTTGGAAAAAGTACTAAAACAAGCCAACTGAAACAGCAGGCTGAAATGGTATTATGCTCCATTACCAAGCGCAGAGGTGTTTGGCATGGCCTGAAAACACTGCTGTGCAGTAAAAAGATAGGCAGTCGCTAGCAGAGGAGATGCTTGGCTGCTGAAAGTGCGATCAGTATTGCTGGCGAGTTAGTTGGCTTCTAGGACAACGAACGAGTTCTAACCTTAGTTTGATTAGATTTCGGCTTTAATTTGACAAAAGGGATAGGCTTTAAGGGACATAAATACAATTTTCACAACCCATGTTTACCAGTTTTTTGGCCACTGGAATGGGACTGGGAAATTAACCAAGCCAGAATCTTTTGCAACAAACAGAATTTGTCATTGACATGGTTTCCTATCAGAGTTTCTATTTGTGTAAGCCTGCACAATGTATATATGGTCCGTGTGGGGTGAGGTCATGTGGATTCAGTCAATATGGGGAGTTTGGTCTACTACCTTGCAGAGTGCTGTGAGGTCTCTGTGTTTGCTCTTCACCAGGAACTCAGCTGTGATGTCTCTGGGTGGCTTTACCTCACTGGCCTCTTTATACTGCTGATGCAGCTCCTTCACTTTCTCCTTAGTAGCCACCATCTGAACAAGAGCAGGCACAATCAAATTAATTGTGTGTGAGGAGTAAGCTGTAACTGAGGGAAGTGTACATGCATGTATTACCTTGTTCAGAAGGTCCTTAAGCTCCTCTTGAGTCTTCACAATCTTCTTCCAGTGTTCAATCTGCTCATCTTTCACATGTTTCTCCTGCAGCCTGAACATTGATGAGCAACATGTCAATGCCATGCTATTATCTTTTTACTTCTGAGGCTTAATTTTCAACACTCAGAAACAAAATATGAAGCAAATAAAGAGCTCACTCACTGTATAACTACTTCCAGTGCTTGTCCCAGAGACACAGGTTTGTTGTTAAGAAAGTTGAAGTCGAGCTGGTGGCTGAGATATGACGTTGCCTCTAAAAGGCGATTGAACTCTTGCTCTACCATCTCATCCTTCTCTTTAGGGACCTACAGCAGAGTTACAACCATGCAACTTGATATTATGGATGATAATCTATCCAGATATACATTGTTGTCACAGTATTAATATGTAATGTGTATATGTACATAAATGTGTCATTTAACAGGTGTCCATTTCCATCAAGTTTTTGGGTAGCAAACTATACTGAACCGGAAGGTGTTCAGAAATCATAAACCTGTATTGAATATGCAGTTATCATTGGGTGTTGAGTGTGTAAATAAATCCATTAGCACAGTTCCTCTAATTACATATGTTGTATGATATTATAATCAGAAATACTTACACTTGTGCAGCGCTCTCCCTGTATAACCAGGGCAATCCATCAGTTTAAGAAATGAAAATGGAGTGAAAGCGAGTGAGATAAAAAAATAAAAAAAGGAAGGATGGGATGTAGCAAAGAGAAAATGTTCGGGGGTTAAGAGGGGGCAGAGAGTGAGAGAGGGAAAAAGACCGTTAGATTGTTCTTTTCTCTAATTAGAGTCCAAGTGCTTGACTTTAAACATAGTAAGGATGCCAATCAGACGAGAATGGGAGGAGCACTGACTTTTCATATTTAAACATCATGTTAACTGGTCTGAAAAACAACTGCACTACAACACTGTATAACACACAATGATGTCTCAGCGATGCCGTACAATATCATGAAGATCAAATTGTGACAGTGTTTACATTGTATCCCTATTTTAATACATTACTTTTACTTTTAATATATTACTTCATACTTATATGGTGATATTCTGATCATATGTTGAAATATATGTATATTAGCGTATGAACCCTAATATGATGTTCATCTGTCAATATGTTTCAAGATCACTCACAGCTTGTCCATTGGCCTCATAGAGTGGACACTTCTGTTTGATTTTGGCCAGCTCCATGTTGACCTGTTTGCTGACTACTGCCATAGGGTTTCCACCTTAAAGACATACACAACAGTTTCAAACTGTTGCAAAAGCTTTGAGATAGCTGCCTGAACATGTGACTCTATTCCATGGTCAACAGTGCCACCTCCTGGAGAGAAGAGTATTTGATATTTCTTACCCAGTCCAGTCACCACCATAGCACCCAGGTCAGCTACATAGTTCCCTTTCCTGAAAGTGGCCACTCGCCCTCCCACACGATCCTATCAAGTACAATCAAGGTTTGTAAAATAAATTTAAAAAACTTGTCTCAGCTCTCAATGTAAAATACTGGATAGAGTATCAGAGCAGCATGTACTTACTCTTGCTTCCAGAATGGTCACATCCATCCCAAAACTCTGCAGCTGTTTTGCTGCTGCCAGCCCGGACACCCCACCTCCAATCACTATAACTTTTCCAGTTTTCTTTGCTACAAGAACATAAGAGAGTATAATTTGAACAACACTGGAGAACAGAGTGCTTTCTGCGTTGTGGTTTGTTACTCTGTCTGTCTTTGCATTATTACCATTAGTCTGTTTAAATGCCTGCTGCAAACAAGCTGTCATTGTTCTCTACACCAGACAAATGAAATGTAATTGTGGACAAAGCCTTGTACTGTGGTCATCTTGTAGGTTTTGACATTAATATCATTAAAGTCTGAATTACTTGGCAGAGGCTTTACTCTCTTGTAGACACCAAAGTTGATGAACCCATGTCTCTCCAGGTAGCTGTGTATCCGGTGCACTAGGACAGCATCACCTGCAGAGAAGAACCACCACGGACAAATTAAAAATATTCACATGAATATTTAAACAAATACAATTAAGTCTACACATTTAAAAGTGTAAAAAATGTTGGAATCAGAGCAATGTCAGGTGAAAAAGACTCACTGTTGTATGGAGCTTCTAGCTGCTGCACAGTTGCCTCAAAGGTCAGCTGGATTTTGGGGTTGTCCAACCATAGTTGAAGCTGAACATTCGAGAAAATACATTTTCACAACTGACTGGAAAACACATGATTCTTGCTGATTCTGAAACATTTTTACAATACAATCTACCTTATCATTTAAAAGTTTGGGGTCAGTAAGACCGTTTAATGTTTCTGCAAGAAGTCTCTTATGCTCACCAAGGCTGCATTTATTTGATCAAAAGAGTAAAAACAGACATTTTGTGAAATATTATTACAAAAGAACTGCTTTCTATTTTAATATGTTAAAATGTAATTCATTTCTGTGATGTCAAAGCTGAATTTTCAGCAGTCATTACTCCAATATTCTCTCTACTCTGTCACATTAGAAATCATTCTAATATGCAGATTTGTTGCTTAAGAAACATTTATTATCAGGGTTTTAAAAAGTTGTGCTTAATATTTTGAGAAAACCATGATACATTATACACATTTCCCACCATCTTTAATGTATTGAAAGGTCAAAAAAACAACATTTACTTGAAATAGAAAACTTTTGTAACATTATAAATGCCTTTACTGTCACTTTTGATCAATTTAATGCATTCTTACTTAATAAATGTTTTAATTAAAAACTTACTGACCTCAAACTTTAGAACAATGTATTATTAGCCAATAAGACTTCTAGAAGAGTTTCTACCATAATAACAATGTCTATTTGGCTCCTGTTTATCTGCTTTAAAAAACTAAATTCAAATGCTTTAAATCACAAAATGAAGTCTCCAGCTGCGAACTCACCGTTCGGTTCCGGATGTACAAGAACACTTTCTGAGTATGCTGTGGTCCACCAATAATGTCAGGGAAGCATGCAGCTTCCTGTGATGTCATACGGTCATGTGGGAGACGACTCTGGAAGGCGGCCCCCTCTACACCTAAGTTGTCACAACATACATTAACCCACAGCTATTAGTACCACCATTGTCTCCACTTCTATAAACATCTTTATTTTATCTTTCAAAATGACAAAGTATTTTGAAATATTTTTAAATTCTGTAAAAGGTGCAAAATTTTAGATTAGTCCAACCTCTGACTATACCTGACGGTTCCTCAGGTTCGCTGTCATTCTCCTCCTCTATTGGTGGGGCTGGTGGAGGAATTACCTGTTTCCTTTCTTTTTCAGCTTTAGCGTTCCTCTCTTCCTCCGAATAATACTCATCCTCCGACAGATTAGCGAGACTCTCATCCATCTCCCTGTACTCCACCTGCAGCAGGAGGCACAATAAAAGCTTCATTAAAACCTTGTTCTGTTTCACCTGGGGTGAAACATGACAATTATTCCCTACTTAGACAAAACATCACAACTGTTTTTTTTTTGTGTGTGTAGGAATGGTCTATCCAGGATTTTACGTTGGATTATTATTATATATATTTTTAAAGGTGACATATTATGCCCCTTTTTACAATATGTAATATAAATCTCAGGGGTCCTATTGAAAGTGCCTATTTTGAGTGGATGCAGAAACACGCTGTATTAGAGCATGTCTCTTTAAATGCAAATGAGCTGCTGCTCCCTGCCCCCTTTTCCAGAATAGAGCTGCGCCATTACAGCTCGTACCTGCTAAAAAAACATCTGTTTTGGTTCTGATTATCGTGTTTATCGCACTGAAATCATGCGTTTTAAACCATTTTAGTTTAAACTTCTGATATACGGTTTTCTGTGCGCACACATCTGAAGCACACGGACAGAAAGTGGCTGTCACAGCATGTGAGTACTAAACTAAGTTCTCATTAACACACAAGTTTACGTTAAAAACACACACCAGTAACAAAAACAGTCAGTTATGACTGTGAAGGTAAACAGCTGGGAAATAAATTGCATGTTTATTTTAGATCTGTGTGGCAGCAGCAATATACAGTAAATTAATCAATAAAGCCACTGCTCTGTTGTCTCCTCTGAGACTGGGAATCTAAATAGTGTTCTGTGCTCATCTGTGCAGCCGAAGGCAGAACAGTTAGCATGTTTTGCTCAAACATTCGCCGTGGCATTAGAGCTGGTACACCGTTGTCGCTTGCAAAATCAAAATGACGGCACCGTGGGTGTACATTTACAGATTAAGGGGCGGTAATATTATAATGAGATCCCTTTGCAACATCACTAGGGGAGCGGGATCAGACGCGCTCATTTTTTCAGATGCTTGCAGAAAAAAGCTTATCAAAACAAAGTTACTGAGTTAATCTTTCTCACGTTTCCTTGATTGGTAGATGCACCGGGGACCTGATTATAGCACTTAAAACC